GCGCCGTGTAATCGTACAAACTTTTCCAAAATGGACCCCTCTAATATATATATATACACACACACACACACACACACACACACACAGTCAAACCTCGGTTTTCGACCATAATCCGTTCCAGAAGACTGTTCGAAAACCGAATTGTTCGAAAACCGAAACCATGTTTCCCATTAGAATCAATGTAAATTTTTTTAATCTGTTCCAAGTCCAGAAAACGACTTTTTTAAAAGCATTTTTTCAGCTATTTTACACCATAAGGCATAAACTGTATACACGTGTAATAAGAGAGCAGGTAACAGCAAACTACAAACATTTTGTATGTTTTATTTTTTACCAATTTTAACATAAACATTGACATTGTCACATAAAAATTGATCTCTCTCTCTCTCTAAAAAATATCTCTCTCTCTCTCTCTCTCTCTCTCTCTCTCTCTCTCTCTCTCTCTCTCATCATGACAATTGTAGATTACATTCTTTTACACCTTGAATTTATAAACCCAAAAGTAATGGCTGTCACTATGGACGCTCTGTCTGTAATCTTACACTACGGTATGAGGTAACATCCCTCCATCCATTTTTTTGAACCGCTTTATCCACACAAGTCCAGTCTCGTCCACATTAAAAGTTTGCTGGGGAAGACATTCCCCGGCCTTGATGAGATTTTCAAACTCAACTTTAAACTTTTCGGCAGCTTCCTTGTCTGAACTGGCTGCCTCCCCATGACGAATCACTTCTTTTCCTCAACTTTTCGAACCATCCTCTGCTTTAAAATCAAACTCTTCAGGAGCAATGCTAGGATCCTTTTTTTTTAATCAAATCTCCATACAATTGTCTTGTTTTGCCACAAATCGTATCTTGGCTAAGACTGTCGCCTGCTTGCTGTTTATTTATGAAAATAAGCAACCGTTACTCCACTTCCTCTAATATTTGTGGCCTTTGATCACTAAACACACGAGATCCTTTAGCCACATTAATGACTTTATGATGGTCTTTCTTTTTTAGGATGCTGCTGATTTCGACATGCCGAACTCCTTAGCCAACACAGACACATGCACACCTGATTCATATTTCACTATCAAATCTTTCTTAAATTCAATAGTTTTGCGCACTATTTTACTCTTTTTTCAGCAGCTTTACTACTTCCACTTGCTTTCTTTGGTGCCATGCAAAAATAACAGTCCAATTTGCGTCGATCTCAACAAACACGTTTGCTTTTTTAAAAATCTTTATTGAACACGTTTGCTCACAATGGACGCACAATGGACGCTCTTTTTTTTTAAATCTTTGAACACGTCTGCTCACAATGGACGCACAATGGACGCTCTTTTTTGTTTTTTAAATCTTTGAACACGTCTGCTCACAATGGACGCTCTTTTTTTTAATCTTTGAACACGTCTGATCACAATGGACGCTCTTTTTAAAAAATAAAATAAAATAAAAAATCTTTATTGAACACGTCTGCTCACAATGGACGGACGCTCTTTCTTTTTTTTTAAAAAAATCTTTCATTGAACACGTCTGCTCACAACGGAGGCGTCACTTCTTCGTCAAGCCGAGGAAGCGTCACTTCCTCGTGTAAGAAAGTCGAGAGAAGTCGAGTGGCGCATTCAAGTGTGCTCAGTTTGATCGAGAACCGAATTTTAGTCGTAATCCGAGGCATAAAAAACTCCAAATTTTTGGTCGAAAACCGATTTAGTCGAGAACAGAGACGTTCGAAAACCGAGGTTTGACTGTGTATGTGTACACACACACACACACACACATATAATAGTTTTGCATTTTTCATTTGTAATTGGGTTTTATTTTCTTTTGATATTTTTAATGTATTTTTTTTAATTGAGTTTGAATTTGTTTTTGAAGGTTTTTTATATATCTACACACACACACACACACACACACACACACACACACACACACACACACACATACACACACACCACAAATACAAAGTGCATGAAAAATACGATTCATCGCCGCATATTATGCAGAGTGGGCTTGGTGCGTGGGAATCTCCCGTTGGGATGAATCCGTATTTTAAGTCGCACTCCTGATACTGTCTATTAAATGTATCCTTCTTTTTCTTGGAAGTCGTGCGCTTCTCTTCTGTCTCCTGGCTGGGCCTTTTTCCCTTCCCAGAAGGCGTTTTGTGTTTTACTCATTTTGCTAGCTCCTGTGTTTCATTTTTGCGGTAACCTATCATGTGACTGAGAAGCACGCCTTGACCTGCGTCAAGAGTGACATACTGTAGACAGATGTAACAGAGAATCGGGTAATTGTTTCCAAAATAAAACATCTTTCAGATTCGGAAATAAATAAAACCGAAGTCAGATAAGTAATTTATTCTTTCTGTGCAGCCCAGTACCAACTGACCCGCAGACCGGTGGGTGGGGACTGCTGATCTAGAGTATCTGTTTTTACCACAATAGGTTTAAAAATAAATCTATAATTCTACGCCCTGTTGCCATGCTGTGCGTAAAGGAATAGCAGGCAACTGTCCATGTGTGCAAGTACGTGGCTGATAAATAAGATAAGATAACGTGTCTGTGCTCACAGACGACCTGTAGTTTGTGCCGATGTTGATTTACGTGTTTGTGCACAGGCGCTACTGAACAGTGACCAAACAAAACACATCCATTCATCAAATGAGTTGAAAATGGAAGCGAAGAGCTATATTTTGAGGATAAATATGTCTGCATGTGGCTTTATGTAGCGCTGTTTGATTTCATAAATGTAAATGAAGACAGAAGAAATGATTACCGCCGCAGCTTGTAATGTACGCCGCTGGTTTTTGAAATCGGAAAATATTACATCATAAGCAGATATAATCATTTTTTCCCCTCCACTTCCTGACTGGAGATCGCCAAGTTTTATTTATTTATTTATTTTATAGGCTATGCACATTGCATTTATTTATTGATGTGCTCATTGCATTTATTTATTGATGCATTGATCATGCATTATGAAAAGTTGGGTATGTTGAAGTGGTAAAGCCATCGATTTGTTTGCATTATTGTTGTAATCTGTGCTGTAGTTTGATTTTTGGGGTTACTGACAGCATAGCAAGCATATGGCAATATGTTGATGACACTTGTGTGGCAGAATTATGTTGCCATGGTGAATGCTTACAAGACTACATGTCAAAAGTATTTAGTAAGCTTATACTTATACTATTTGTAGTCAATCTACCTATCAGAAAGACATTGTTGATTTGAGCTCTCGGCCGATTACAAGGTAGCGAACGTTGCCATTTTCCTGTTCATTTATTTCTTTATATACTAATTACACACTGTGCTGGTTGCTACCATAAAAGATATCCGTAATGTAATTTCCGAAAAAAATGAAGACATTTGAAAAAAAATTCATGATCACTCAAAGCAAATAATTAACACAATCATTCCAAGTCAAAAATGTATATACGGTACTTTAACTATAAACCGCGACTTTTGTCACACGCTTTCAACTCTGCAGCTTATTTAATGAAGCGGCCTACATAAAGATTCTTTTCATGGCCACCAGGGAGCGCTCGAGCATAAAAGGTAAGAGTGAGACAAGTTGATATTTATGTGTCGAGGAAGACGCTCTCATCTGTCACACTGAAAACAACCGAGTTGACACGAAAGCGTGGCTGGTAGAAAGCCTAATCAAGGAATGGTTGACCGAGTGTTACGGCAAGCGAGGATTTTTTCATCCAAAATAAAAAGCATTACTCGAGGGCAAACAGTGACTTTTATGGGGTTTTTCAACCAGCCCTCTTAGTGCTTTTTTACTGCTGTGGTGCTGCCGCGTAACAGGAACTATATTTGGAAAGAAAAGTTAAGGTATGTTATTAAAACTTTGAAAACGCTTTCTGTGTACCGTTTTTCTTTGTAAATATCTTATGTTAAAATGTGGGCACCTGCGGCTGATAGAAAGGTGCGGCTTATGTGTGTACAAATGGTTTTTCCTTTAAAAATGTACTGCGTGCGGTTTATAATCAGGTCCGCTCTATCATCCGGAAATCACGGTACATCCGTTACTCATGCCTATCCCACATCATTTCCATAACATGACTGAAGACTTGCTTTTCATTACCTCTGTCTGTCCATCCTTTTAAGAGGTGGTCGACCAGCGGCTGCCGAGATGCTTTTGGAACGGTTATAGCTTGGTTTGTAGCCAAGACCCCACTTATCCTTTAGAGAGGCCGCCTTGAGGGAGGCAAAAATAATAACGTCAGAAATAGTTCCGTCAACATATCAATGAGACACACACATTCTTGAGAAAGTGACTAGTGAAGTGAAAGCTGCAGTAAATGCAAAGAGTAGGACAGCTCACCCTCATGCTGGAGCGACGCAGCTTTTTCCTGACATCTCTCCTGATGTCATTGACAGCCACAGACTCCAGCTGTTGATAACGCTGAATCTCCTGGTTGATAGTGCCCTCACTTGCTCCCAATTTTCTAAGATGCAGAAATTCCACTGAGTTCAAACTTTCAGAGGGGCATCTCTCACACCAACCGTTTGTTCTGGTTGGATTGCAAACTTTTAGTTTACGTCACAGAAGCTCTTCAGCATTCTACTTAAGGCTCGGCTGTACTGCATCTAGGGTCTCATCTTGATAAAGTGTTGAAGTAGGATGCCTACTTGAGGTCGTCGATGACTTTGGCCTGTTCGTTCAGCTCTCTGATGTCCACCACCCTCTTGGTAAACTTTCGACCACGCACGTCAATCAACTGGTTTCCCATGACCATCTGCCTTCTGGGATCAACTGCCTCCTGGTGGGAGAATGGAATGTTACGACTGATCGTGGTAGCAATTCAACCCACAAAGCCCTTTTATATATAAGTCCAGTGTGTGCCCAGAAGGTGCTTTAACATGTAATTGAGGTGTGTTATTAGTCTTGTTACAATTCATTCAGGGTTGAGTATACTTTGTTTTCAATAAAAGTACCGCCACCATCACCACTCCACTCAAAGTGAAAGAGGGAAAAGTGAAAAATCTTTCCCATGATTGTCACATGAATTTATTTAATTTCACCCAGGATTAAATCTTAATAGTGGATATCAGTATGTGCAAATGCTAAGCAATGCTACTTTGAAGCACTTTTTATTACATTGCTCAGTATTTTTTGACTCCACAACCCTCATTGGTCAGCAGTAGGTAGCAGAAAGGTTCGTCATCTTGGAAGCACTTTTGTCAGCCCAAAGAGTTTAACGCTATAGCTAGCTACATACACAAGCCCAGGAGAGAGGTCTTTGGGCCCGGGTACTGTCCGCTCGAAGGCGGGGAGATGGACAGTTTAAGTAGTCTGCTGGGACTGATACACTCTGGGGCCTGGGACTGAGGCCCAGGATGCGGTTTACCAGACGTTTCTTTAACGTCAGCCGTGGGCTGAACTGGCTCTCTGGACTCTGCAGGAAAACGGCAGGGTCAAACGCATTGACAGAATGAAGATTTTCTGTAGAAGCTCTGATTAAGTTCTGTGTGGTTAGTTTTCTACAAATGTATTGCTAGTCCAGTGAAATAACGTCATTTGGGAGCTTTTTTACAATATTTAGATCTTGTTCATTTGAACAGTATGGCACTTTCACACATTCTAGTGTAAATTATTTCTCACAGGTGGTCAACTCAGTCATCACAATTCCGTCTTTTGGCATGGGAAAGCACAAATGTCAAAATCCATTAACCTATTCCAATAATCTGTTTTTGATGTTCAAACTGTACGATCTGGAATAAGAATGAGATCCTTGTCCAGTGAGTGAAGTTTTGGACTTTAATGGACTACCAAAGACAAAACGATGCACCCACGTCAAAATCAGGTGGCTAAACTTGCCACTAAACTATAGGTGTTGCCATTATGAGCTTTCAGTAAAAAGTACACGACTTAAGTTTTACACACAATAGGATAGGAGACCAGTGGTTTTAGGCTACGTTCAGACTGTACTCAATTAGGATTTTTGGGTGGAATCAGATTTTTTTTTGTGCAATAGTTGAAATTACATATTGACTGTGAAAGAAGAGACATCACTCGCAACATGGTCCGGAATGAATCGGATCTTTTTTGTCATCGCAGATAAATGCAACCTGTCCGGTCAGACTGAGGTTGCATCGCAAAGAATCAATACGTATCTGATCTATGACCACATGTAAAAGTTTGGATTTGTGGTTTTTTTTTTTGGGGGGTTAATAAAAATTAATCAGATACGGGCCACATATGAGCAAAAAAAATGTATTTGGGTCACATTTGCCTGCAGTCTGAACGTAGCCTAACCCCGGCCATTTCACTCTGAGTGCATTCTGAAGCATAACAACACTTAAGCATTTAAAAAAAGAGCAATCATGTGCCAACTTATAGCGATGACTACAAAAGCATTTAATTACTTTTCTGTAATGCATCAAATAAATGTCATATATATATAAAATCACTGAACCAGTCAGTGGTTCTATTTCCATATTACAATCGTAAAGTGTGCTCTTATATGAAAATAATGTATTTCTGCTTGTGGATGACTTATAGGCAAGACAACAGTGTCTACCATAATTTCTTTCTACACTTCCACAGTAGATGTCTAACGCTTGCCATATTGCAATATTATGGTTGTCTGATATCATATCCGACACTGAGATAAAAGATTGGCTAAACTTAGCAGTGGGAATGATAGAGCAATATTTGTAGAGACTCTCACAAAGCAGGTATTTACTTACCATGTGGATGGTGGGTGACATGGTGTCATCTTCATCCTCATCTGATAGGTCCACCATGTTGACAGAATTGAGGTCGGTGATGTCTTCTACGTCTTCCTCCCCGGTCATTGATGTCAGCGTATTACCCAGGGCATTGAGGCGCTTGCCAATGTTAGGGTCCATGTGAACATCAATGCCACACATTTTCCAAAGCACATTCAGGGTCCAGGTACCAGCACTGCTGCTCTCTGATTTGTTGAAAAGAAAAGAAAAGCCAGGGTCAAGGATGAAATACTTAATCTTATTGAATTCTGGTGTGTGATCCATATTTTATTGAGAACTTGCCAGCAGATGGTTGCCCCGTGGTCCGAGAACACACTTCGTATGTGCCATCAGGGACTATACCTGAGTAGTCATCACAAACAAATGCATCACCCGGGTGAATATTTCAGAGGAGAATAGGATGAATTTCTCGATGGCCAATATTCTCCGCCATAGAAAATGATTTTTTATGACTTACAAGCATTCATGACTAAATCTCCACGGATCTCAGGTTTCCAGTCATCCCAAGAGGTCTCAAAGCCTTCTGCAAAGCGGATGCAGAAAGTCTTGAAGTGGCCTTTGCTAACCAAGGACTCAGAGGAGCAGGCGGTGATCAGTGTACTCTCAATAGTCAAGACCAGAGCGGAGCTGGTGTCAAAATCTATGCTGTGGTTTGCCTGGCAAAGCACCAAAGAGAGGGAAGGAAATGTGTTATTTGGACTTGCAAGCAAAACACTGTATTTACATATTTGCCAGACATCCATCCATATGTTAGGCCAAAAACAGTGGAACCTAGTGATTTAGCTTTTAGATTTTTGTCAATTTTGATGGAAAAAAAACTCTGCTCATTTTACCTGAATTCCTGAATAGACTGTATAATAACATATATAAATTCATGGATCATGGTGTTAATGTCTGTCTCTTCCATTTGTTCGTTATAGCCGATAAATAAATGAATACCATGAGAAGGGCTGCCAAGATTAGTTGACTAACCACGACTACCTTGAGAATTGATGGTCGAGAATTAATTTATAGGCCAAAGCGTCGTGATGCAAACAGAAGCATTGAATGTAATGCAGTGACTGGCACAAAGATACAAGTACACATGCTATGAGTGGCAGTAACACACCACCAATGTGGTGAGATGGCCAATTTCAAAAGAAACCTTAGATTCCCAAATAATATCTGGGCATCAATGAGGAAGTATGCTTTTATTTTGAAGTTGCTCCCGGCAGCTTGTTGCAGCATAACATCTGATTTGACTCGTCTTCCTGAGTGTACTTGGGGCATTTATATTCCCATCACAGATTGTTGCCAGTGAGGTCGATAATGCAACGTCCTGAAATCAAGTGCAATCGCTATTTAAGGACGCCAAAATGCTGACGTTGTGTGGTACTCTTGCTCACGTTTAGCGGCGGCGCCGGCGATGGTGGCCAGCAGCTTCATGGCATGATTACTTTTCAAAGTCGGTTTAATGAGTACACATTTTGATGTTGACAGCCTGACACAGTTGCCGTTCCAACTGCTCACTTATTGAGCAAACCAGGCTTACTCAAATATGCTACTGTATTTCAGAGGTCACTCCTCTTAATTCTTTAAGGATTTTGTCTCGATTAATTAATGAATGTATTTTTAAATTCATTTATTTCACCAATTTCAATACCTTCACCATAAAAAAAGACTTGGTGCACAAGAAGAGTAAAATATATTTACAAATATTTTTGTATCTATGGATAATTTCATAATATCGTTGGTTGTTTTGAAGTGCTCTATAAATACAGTTGAGTTGAGTAGCATCAGTGCAACTGTACATCGTGTATAGTTTTTGGTTCCATTTTAAAATGCGGTAAACAGTGACAGATTAAAAAAACAAAAAAAAAAAACAGAAAGAAGGCCGCAGTATTGCCTTCAATTTAAGTTGCACAGTGATTTATCAAGATGGCAGGAATGCCGGTACAAGCTACCAAGTTTAATACAAGTTGAATGTACTACCATCCTAATTGTCTTTATTATTCATTTGGATATAACTAAAATAATTCAAGCTCAAAGCACATGATGTATAAGAGCAGCTGCTTGCTGGTGCCATATGATATGATGCGCCCACTGATCGCGACCACTGTTGGTGATTATCAAAATTATAGTTTGTGGTATCCCTAATCATGAGACAAATTGGATGAATTAAAAGCAGGAATTCAGATAAGATTTTCAATTCAAAAGGATTGGCATGAAAAATAATGCAATCATGAAAATATTTAATTTGCATACTATCTTTTTACGAAAGTAGCAATTAAAGACCCACCCTGAGAACCATTCACACACCACCACCACTATGAGTTATGACAGCTTTCTGAATTTTACTCTTTTGGAGTTGTCAGCATTTTATTTGGTTAATTTTAACCAGAGAAGAGCAGTGCAACGAACTGTAATTTCAAGAGATTTCAACAAGGTTTGTTAATCAAAGTTAGCCCCTGTCCCCCAGCAACCCATCAGAAGTAATATACACAATGCAGTTTACTTTTCGTGCATTTTTATGCGGGGCTTTTGATGTGCAGGGCCCAGATTCAGGGTTGGTGCCTTCAGCAGTAGTTGCTTGTCCTTTCTATGGAAATAATTAATGACAAATACATGTATATACGTACACACGCGCACGCGCGCGCGCACACACGCACACACACACACACGCACGTGCGTGCACTCACACACGCGCGCGTGCGCACACACACACACACACACACACACACACACACACACACACACACACACACACACACACACACACACACACACACACTCAAAAACCCTGTTTTAGTGAAGTTGTAATGCTGTGTAAAATGTAAATAGAACTGAAGAGAAATGACTTGCAAAACCTTTTAAAACTACATTTCACTGAATACACAACAAAGAGAGGTAAGATAATTAATGGTCAAACTGAGGAACGTGATTCTTTTTAAAAATATGTTTTCATTTTGAGCCTGTTGCCTGCAACACGTTACAAACCAGCTTGGAATATGAACATTCCTGTCTTTATAGCCTATTCAGTTGAACAGAAGTTGAAAAGGATTTGCAAATCATTGTGTTGCTTTTTTGTTTGTTTTTTTGTTTGTTTACATTTGACTCAGCATCCCAAATTCACTGGAATTGAGGTCTGTATAAAATAAGGTCCAAGTCCGACAATATACTGTACATCTGATTACCTGGGATGCACTGGTAATGGGCAGGCAGATGCCCAGGTCATTGACAGTCAGTTGAAGGAAGAGGGTGCTGAAGGCCTGGGCTGATGTCTGTTGAATACCTGGCAGCTTGTCCACCACCTCTTTTGTGGCTACATGAATGTCTTTGTTGAGCGCCAAACGCTGTTCATTCCAGTTGTCATATGCTGCCTTGTAATTCAGCCAGAATAGCACAGCTGCCGGAAGACACAAGAATCGGATACATAGAACTTTTCAGCAATGTCCAAAATGCACATAAGAACTAGACGTTCAGAAGAGCAAACAGGCAAACCCCCTTACCCAATCTGCTGAGATACATAATCATCTGATGGACTTTGGTATTTGACATGAGAAATAGAAAAAACAAGAACGCTGACCTCTGTCAAATGCCACCGGCTGGGCGAAAAGAATAGGCCTGTTGAGTGTGATGAGAACAGCCTCCTTGTCAGACGAGCCACTGATCTCCTCCTGAAGAGCATTTCGCAGACCAATTCGGGTCCGAAAGTATGCTACCTGATGGAAGTCTGAGCCAGCCTCTTCATACACCTGCAATCGGAAAAGTGGGTTAATTATCCCCTCCCCACAAAAAAAAAAACCAACAAAAAAACCCTTCAGCAAATTAGGTCAAGGATGGCGGTATTTGTACCTGGTGCTTGACTATTTGTCCAAGAGCCAGGTGGAGGTCAACTTGACACTTGCCAAAAAGTTTCAGGTAACTGCTGCTGCCACCAGGCTGAGCCTTACATTGGATTCTGTTGGATAACTCGAGCTCAATCAAGCCGGTCTCAAAGCGGACCGCTCTCATTGACGGGGTGGTGGCGGTCATTTGGATTCCCTGTGAGAAGAAAAGGTCTGGTTGAAATTGTTTGTATGATTTGAGTATTCTCAAGAATACTGACAGACAGATATTGAGTAAAAGTACCTTGAACATGAGACTCAATGAGTACAGCAGGATTTTGGGCTTGTCTGCGTCGGTTGAGGTGTCATGCTCATTCCACAGTGGGATGGGCTGTTCGACCCCTGCCGCAATCAACACATCCAGAATGAGTCAAGATCACACGTTCTGAATGACCACTGTAATCTATTGGGTTAGCTGTGCGACATGATTCAGTATTTTCAGATCACAATAAATCTTACTTTGTAAATATTGCGACAAAATCCAAGGTTGTGGAGAGAAACCTAAATTTTGTGACACTTTGTGTTTTGTGAAAATTATGATTGCAGGGTATGAAGCAGCAAGGGCCACTGCTGGTTAAAATTTTATCATATAAAACAGACCGACTTACTTCCTCCTAGAGGAAACGGAGCCTTTACAGCAGTGTTTCCAAACTAGCCAGATTGATAACAGTTGAACATATTCGCGTTTGGTATGATCACCTGACACCTTCTGGATGACCTCATTGACCTCCTTCATAAAAACCTTCTGCAGGAAAACCAGGTGGTTTAGCAGATCTGTGGTCAGGTTATGTTCAAAGGAGCCAATCTACAAATGAGAGGGAGAAGTGAGTGTCAAATGTCACGGTCACTAATTATTCCTTGAAACGTCATTCCTTAATCCCTTTGCTGGGAAACAACTCCTTGAGAAGTGATTTCCCACCTCAGCCACACAGCGCAGGTAGTTGCCTTGGAGATAGTTCCCTTGCTTTGCAGGGAAGTCATCAGCGCCCCAACCCTGGTCAGAATGACTATCGTGGTCCTCCATGATGTACTCTCCAGACATAGTGACGGGTGGCAAGGTGAGGCTCGCTGTAGGTGGCATGGTGGACATGTCCACAGGAGACACTTTTGATTGAAAGCATAGCTTGTGGTTTGGCAATTCAAAGGTGAAGCTGGTTTGGGCTCCTAAAATGCAAACATGAAGAACACATTACTTTCCGATTATAGTCCTCTTAAAACCAATCACGACTTTCAAAACGATCTAAATGTTATCGTCTGGGACCAAAACACTGGTATGTAATGTTTTTCGACAAACCTGTCATGCCATGGCTTTTCATGCGGCCCATTTTGTACTCAGCTTTCAGTGAGGGCAGCAGGGCAGCGCCAATGGTGATGCCATCCATCATGGCGCTGAACTTGAGCACGATGGGCTTCTTTTCGAGGCCTTCTGGAAGCTGAGGGAACTCATTGGCCTCAACAGGTGTCTGATTGATGCTGGAACCTTTGTCAGAGGGCTGTGGGGTGGGCGTATCCTCCCTATTAGGGGGTTGACTGTTGGGAAAGATGCAATTTTCACTCAATTGATTAAAAGAAGCTCAGTGAATTAAGTGGTTCATATAATTAATGTGACATGGATGTATTGCTTTTAAAAATGACCCTGCTGAAAAACAAGGTTTGTTATATATCATTCGTTTGCTGCAGGTAAAGGCTGTTGATGAGTGTATTTCTGGATTATGTTTGCAGGTTGTTTAATAAACTGAGAAACTAGTATGTGGATCTCTTTGAACTTTAAAATAAGACCATATACTGGCAGTGGCAGAAGAGTCAACAGAGAGCACACAATAATGAGCAATTCAGACTAATTAAAATGCGCATTACGTCATGTGTCGTATTTAAGAGTAGTGTAGGATGTTCTGTATGGATCCCAGTGAACATATTCTTTAGTGGCGCAAGGCCCAGCAGCGGACATACACATTAGATGGCTGTCGGATGAGGTCAGAGATCTGTTTGGACAGCTGATGGGAGCTGCGGACCATCATGCTGTGTAAAGTGGCTGGGTGCTGGGGGATGTTGATCATGATGGCTCCCACTTTGAAGACCGCAGCATTATTAGTTTTCAGTCCACGCTGGGCGCTGTACAAGGCCTGAGACTTGGCGATGTTGCACTTAACCACAGTTCTGCAATGCAGAGAGAGAACTGTGATGATTACCAGTACTCATAGTGGAAAAGTGACCTGCTGCAGGTGACAGAAACAATATGAGTGGATGAACAACTACAAGAAACATGCAGATGTATTTTTTTTCCCACGCTGTTTACTACTTAAAATATTAAAGAGATTTCAGGAAATTACACTTGCATTGACATCTGATAGTTGCTATAGCATTATTTTGTTAGCGGGCGATTGTGAAGACCATCAACACATGAATAGCTTTTCTTAATAAGACTGTTTTTGAGTTGATTGGAAAGAGAACGAGCATTATAAGTAAAAATGTGTCCCATGCCATAAACTTGTGGCAAGTTTATACACTTTCCGAGTCGATAAAACGAAATGTAAAAAAGTCCTGTTCACTGGTTGGTCAAAACAAAAATTACCTGCACTAATTATTATGAGTGCTACCAGTAGAGGCCAAGCATAAGAGTGAATGACTATGTCCGCATCAACCACAATGTCAACGCACAAAAGGGATTAACACTGGAATCTAGAAAAAGGCCAGGTTAATGTGACTGCACCCTGATCAAGTGCCATATTAAAAAAAATAAATGGAAAAGGGTCATGAATTCCCCCCACCCCAATATTTGATTATTGGTGAAGAGAAGATCACATTCTGCTTCAGACTCAATATCGCGTTACATTCTTCTTCTTCAGTGTCTTCAAATGAAATGCATGTCGATCAGTATATGGTCAGGGAATAAGAAAGGAACAAGATGGCAACACGCCAACAAGTATCGATGTCTAAAACCACTGAAATGGCTTCATGCACACATACATGTGGAATAGGCATTGCAAACAAATGATGGAGATGCTTTGAGATTTCGAATCAGACATTAATGCAGGTGAGGCCTAAATAGCAGCAATAACATACAGAAACTCTTGTTTTGCTGTGCTGGTGGGAGAAGTTGGAAAATCCTCCAGTCTATGCATGTAAGTTGTTGGAGAAAGAAACAGAAAAAAAACAAGAAAAAGGAGAGCAGAGGAAAATGTAAAATAATTCTAAAGCATTTACATATAATGCTTCAAATGTTTTGTTTTAATCTTTTACACGCAAACGCATGTGATCCGTATGATAGTACAGTATCATCAAAAAAACGCCGATGGCAACTGTATCACGTATTGTATATTATGAAATCAAGATATCAAGAACTCACCTACATCTGGAAGCGCTCCCTAATTAAAGACTGAAGTTCACACTTCAATGGTATATTTTAGGCGTAGAAAAAAAAGTAGTGTGTTTCCGGTAACCCGACCGACCGAGAATTTCTACGTCAAAAAAAAACTTTATGGTCGGCATTTTTTTCAAACAACCCTCTACATTTTTGTGTAGAGGGTTTACATCGGTGCAAACTCTCGCGATATTCACGTTGAGCGCGAGCGTCGTTTGCCCTGTCGTCTGTCAACAACATTGAATCATGGCGGAGGCCGCGATCTCCGACAACAGTTTAAACCGCGTTTTCTGTGTTACAGTCGCATGCTCGCACCGTAATGTAAAGAAAATAGCATCCATTGATGTATCGAAAAAATTCAGCGAACTATTTGATGAACACCACGGGCCGAGTAAAAACCGAGGGTGCAGGAGGGCGCAGGAGGGCGGTGGCGGAGGCGGCGGCGCGCACCGGCCCCCCGAGTCCGGAGCGGGGAGAAAACTAAATAGGTGGCGGCGGCGCTGCCGGCCGCGGAGTGGCGGGTTCAATGTCTTCTTGTTTTATGGTTATTTTGTTTAAATTTTTGATGGGAGGGGGAGATTAAAAAAAAAAAACTTTGCCTGACCTACCGACCCTATGCTGAAATTTCATGTTACCGGAAACACACTATCTTTTTTGTTTGGCCTTAAATCAATGGCATAACATGCACAAAAGTGATTTTGGAAAACTGTGTTTTCAAACATCATTTTCACTTCACTTAAAGTTTTTCCTATGGCTCGAAGAATTGTATTTATCCATCCATCCATTTTCTAATCCACTTATCTTCACGAGGGTTGCGGGCGTGCTGGAGCCTATAACAGTTGTCTTTGGGCAGGAGGCGGGGTACACCCTGAACTGGTTGCCAGCTAATCGCAGGGCATAAATAGACGAACAACCATTTGCGCTCACACTCAGACCTCGAGACAATTTAGATTGTTCCATTAACCTGCCATGCATGTTTTTGTTTATTTTTAATGAATGAGAAAACTCACACATGCAGGAGAACTGGAAACTCCACGCAGGAAGTCGAAGTAGGAATCGAACTCTGCACCGCTGCACTGTGAGGCAGATGTGTTAACCAGTCGTACACTGCGCCGACCTAATTTTATTTATCACCGATGAAATTCTAATGTCATTTTATGTTCAATAGCACTGAATGAATTAAAGAAAAAAAGCTTCTTAAGAGATATCAAAAGACTACAAAAAAAGTCATTTACATTCTCGGTTTTGAACAGGGGCGGCCCGGTGAGCTAGTGGATAGCGCGTCGACCTCACGGTACAGAGGTACCGGGTTCAATTCCAGCTCCGGCCTCCGTGTGGAGTTTGCATGTTCTCACCGGGCCTGCGTGGGTTTTCTCCGGGTACTCCGGTTTCCTCCCACATTCCAAAAACATGCATGGCAGGCTGACTGAACACTCTAAATCAGGGGTGGCCAACCCGCAGCTCGCGAGCCGCATGCGGCTCCTTGGCTGGTTCCATGCAGATCCCGGGCTTTCACACGATAATTGTCGAAAAAGCCTAGGCGATGGCGCTGCCATTCAAAAAACGGTGCTTAATGCATAGAACGTACTACTTGACTGACATAGAGGGCAACCAGTCAGATGACTGAATCACCGCTCATGTGCAGACAATGGCGCTAAGTACTAAGCTAGTCATCGAATTACCTCTGTTTTTAGGGCAGGGGTGCCCAATACGTCGATTGCAATCAACCAACTCGACCGCGAGCGGTGG